TCAGATTGAACTCAAACCTATTGGCGGCCAACGAATGGTTAGTTTCAAAGAGGTTTCATGAGATGTCTTGAGATATACCATACCTTCGGCTCCCATTAGGAACTCTGCCCTTAATTATGATGAGAGAGCCGGGAGTGACGGCACCGGACGGTATTGTGCCGAAGTGTGGGATCATCTGCAATGAGGTTCACGTGTGAAATGAGTGGTAAGCATGAGGTGACAATTGAATGGCTGAAGACTTACGGGTCGTGTGGTGACGGGTGTCTGAAAGGATGGCGGAGTGTATGTCGTCGTGTAGGCACTCATTGCTCGCAAATGTAACGCAAATTATAATACTTTCAACACTTCAATAATACTGCGATTTAGGCGTCAAACTGCACTCAATTTAGTAAAATGTATGACAAATGAATGTTTAATTTGATAGTCTGTGTAGACATTGAACACCAGGTATTGAATGAGCAGTGAATGCGTTGAATGACTGGTGTTTCGCGTCTATAATAACATTGCAATCAGTGATGAAATCGCTTGCATTGACTCATAGACTACGATGCGATGCATTCACAGCGCTATCTATGTCTGTGCCGTAGCTATGGATTCATGAATTGCTGCGATTCTTGTGTCCAGAATCTAATCAATAGCTTTTGAACGCCTTTTCTAATGAGACTTATTTCGTGACTAATTTAATTTGATAAGCAGTTTATAGCGTATGTTGTGATAATGGGTAGTGTAAGTGTCAACGTATTGTTTTTTAAATACTTATCAATTGATTTTTATAGTATTTATAGGAATGACTTATTTTTATGAGTTGTTTATTGTATTAGAGATATGAAAAATAAAGTTTAAGAGTTAGGTTTTAAACATGTGAGCAAACAATCTTACAAGTTTTTGTGAGCAATAAATGTATGATTTGTATGAATAGAGAGAATACGTGGACTTAACAGAGATAACAATTTTTGAATCCAAATTCTTATGGTTTGGATTCAGGTTTGAGTGAAGTTTCCGGTGGTTTTGGTTTAGACTCTGAAGGTTTAGGACTTTTGGGTTTAGGAGTCGGCTCTGAGGGCTTGGATTTGGGTGAGGGCTCTGATGGTTTGGTTTTAGGTTTAGGTTCTGGTGGTTTTGGTTTAGGTGTAGAAGTAGGAGACTTGGGTTTAGTTGCGGAGTCTGCGGGTTTGGGTTTAGGTAGGAGCTCCTGAATTGGTTTAGTTATCGGTTTAGTCAGGTCTGTGAAAATGGCTTTAAGTTTATTATCTGGAGATTTGGGTGATTTCGTGGTTTGCTTGTCATCCTGTCGACCCCTACCCGTCCATATGCTAGACCTCAAGCGGATGGCATTCTCGGAGATAATCCAGCGCTGAATCTTCGTTTTGTTGCTGTTGTTGAGCGCCTGCAACGTCTTGACGCAGTGGTGCAGATAACGAGTGGCCATATAGTGCTTCAAACACAAGCCCTTTTTGCTGGCAATCAGTGCCTTGGCCTCAGTCGCCGAGTAATCGTTTTTATTGCCCTCGCAGTCAATGGTTAGCTTCACTTCAGCCTTCACTTCCGGCACCGTTTCCGTCGATTTTTTACTTTAAAACATATTTCACGCAAAATATTTAATAACAAAATTACGGCAACAAAGACACTACAACTAACTTGGGATCAGACGTCTTGACGGCCTCTTCGTCTTCGTGCGCGTCATCCGCGTTATCCTTAGCCTTAGGCGTCGGTGTGATGGCGGCGGTGCTGCGGCACGCCTGGTGAAGGACCTTTAGAAGGAGGACAAACCGGTTGTCAAACTGCTTTAGGAGTTTAAACCAGTGTAATATCTCCCGACATACGCTGAGCTGGAAGTCAAGCGACCACAGCACCAGCCAGAAGTCGATGATTAGGTTGAGGTCCTCGTTGTGTCTGATGGCCACCTCTTTGTCGTAATTGAATTTCAACATATATTCGTCAATATGTTTGATGGGTTTGAGGCGATACAGGATGTTGAAGAAGTTGTCGTTCAGTTTGGCGGCCAATAGTACCTCGAGAATGGCGCCCACGTTGTTGTAGGCCTTCGTGAGATCCTCATCCGTGGCATTCCAGTCGAACTTGAATTCATTCGCATCCCCTTTAATACCACCCGATTCCTGGGGCACGTGCTCTGATGGTGATGCCATCGATGGACACGTATTTATGGTGATAATCTATATATAATGATAGGTGACTACAAATTATTGAAATTATAACTGTAAAGATATTTGATTTGTCAGTGAATACTATTATTATTATTTTTGATTATTGAGTCTCGCGTATGATTTAATGAAAATAATTCATTTATTTTGTTAAATTTACTAAATCTAATATTCATAGCCTTGACACTCAAATATTTGTCTAATTTTGCAAATGAAACTTATTTTTATATAAATTATTATTTTACCAAATGTTAGCCAAACTTGAAAACCTGCATACTATTGAATAATGTGCAAAATATTAATTAAGCGCACAATTTATAGTTCATTGGCATTAATAATGGATTTATTAGCATAAAAATCAGTTTTATTAGCAATTAATGTATAAATAATCCTCATATACAACAATCATCTGTTAATTTGGAGGTTCTCTCCAAATACTAGCCTAATATTCATGTGTCTTATCTGTAAAGTGAGATATAATAGAAAATGAGATAAACTTTTAATTTTCATTACTTTCTCAATACTGTATTCCTATTGACACACATTTGAACAATAGTTTTGATATCAGTTTTGTTAATGATTTAAAATTTATAAACAAAAATTACTATGAATTTGGTTTGGGTTTAATTTTTCAATTTTAACTTTTACTCAAATACATATTAAAAAAATTTTTATATGCAATTTGTGACTGAAATAATTATTTATTAATTTTAATAAATACTGATCAACAAGAATAATATACTAATTATAACTTATAATTTATAAGTGGTTAGTTTCAGTAAATATTTTTCTGTGATTAAATATTTTATTCATTACATAAACTCGGAAAATATAATATATTTGTGCCGTTTCGTCAATACCAGAAGTTTATGAACGTAAGTATGAGATAATTAAGATCTTAATCACTCACTAATTGTTCAATAATTGACTCGTTTTGACGCAAATTTTATGTTAAAGTAGCGATTATATTATTAATTTCTAAAGTATAGCATTATTACTAAACAATCGCTGTCATCATAACGCTATTAATCGCTAATTAAACACTTAATGTTAGACAAAACACGAGGCTTTATATGAAATGATTACTTCAATTGTCGTTTGTTTTTATCAAAATGATTGCTAAAATCAAAGTGAATCGCGAGAAAGACAATTGGAGTAATACAGTAGTTGTAAAGTATGTTCACAGATTCACTAATTGATAAACAATTTCTTATTTTGATATTTATGATATTGAAAAGAATATCTATCTTGGGAAAGTATTCGTAAACTTTCGTAAACTTATCAAATGCTTAATAATCATTGTTTTCAAAAATGAAAGACACTGATCTCATATCTTTAAAAAAGTCAATTTGCGTAGAAATAACCAAACTTTCACAATATGACAGCCTTAATTAGTGAGATTATTATAGTTTTCATAAACTAATTTAATTGTAATTAACTTTTATTTTACTTTTTATTCCAGGTGTGCAAGCCAATTCCAAAGCGGCTAAGTGTCTGTATTTAATGGTGGCCCTCATCGGTATCCTACTGTCCCAATACAGCGGTTCCTTGTCTCCAGTCATAGATTCTGTAATTAAACTAATTTTTTTGAATGTCAATAAATTTTAAAGTAATATTTTGATCACTTGTATAGTCAAGACAGCTATGGCTACTGGTCTATCTCAGGGCCAAGCGTGTCCGTAAGTAGCGTAGTAATAAACACTAGTATAAGAGACTTAACCCTCTGTTCTGTAAGAAGTATAGTCGGTATTACCGTTACTTTGTGAGGGCCAGGAGGCACAAGTTGGGCTCAATGACCGCTAATATTGTCATGAACAGTATCTCAGGTTTGTCTTATAACTTAGTTATTTAACTTATATTTTGTAGTTTTTTAATTGTTTTTATTTTTTGCAGTCTTATTGGGAGTCATGACACAAGTCATACCAAAAACTTTTATCAACTATTTATCCATATTTTTGTTCACATTCTTTGGCTTCAAAATGATTTACGAGAGTATGTATTGATTGGTCGTTTACAGACTATCTTATTGGGAGTCATGACACAAGTCATACCAAAAACTTTTATCAACTATTTATCCATATTTTTGTTCACATTCTTTGGCTTCAAAATGATTTACGAGAGTATGTATTGATTGGTCGTTTACAGACTTATTTTACAGTTAATTGCTTTTTAATTTTAGATTCAATTACTATATAATATAAATTTTTCTGAAATTTACGATAAATTATTGATTTGAATGTCTAAATGTGTGTCCATTTTTAGGTTATACGACATCTAGTACTCAAACTCAGGAAGAATTAGAAGAAGCTGAGAACGAACTCAAAAAACTTGATTCTAATGAAGTGATTATATCTTAATTTGTTTATAAAATAATTTTATTTAATAATTATTTTCCTATTCATCAAATAGGAGTCCGATTACAAGAATATAATATCGAAATTACTGCCATTCCTGTCAATGGTTTTTGTGGAGACATTCTGTTTGATATTCTTTGCCGAATGGGGCGATAAGTCACAGCTTAGTACTATTGTGTTGGCGGCCCGGGAGGTAAGGACTACATTAATGAATGACCAAAATAAACATTAATTAATGAATACATGTGAAACATAGGATCCAATCGGTGTAATCGTTGGCTCATTATTTGGTTACAGTGTCTGTACGGCTATCGCTGTATTGGGCGGCAGTATTTTGGCACAAATATCTCTCATCATAATTAAGGGCAGAGTTCCTAATGGGAGCCGAAGGTATGGTATATCTCAAGACATCTCATGAAACCTCTTTGAAACTAACCATTCGTTGGCCGCCAATAGGTTTGAGTTCAATCTGATGGTGGGATCCGTGATCAGCGAACAGCTGAAGCAATCGGGAGACATAGCCCTCCACTTCAACCCGCGGTTCGACACGAATCTCGTGGTGCGGAACAGTCGCCAAAACGGTCGGTGGGGTCCGGAGGAACGGGAGCCGCAAGTGATGCCATACGCGGCCGGACGTGACTTCGAGACAATGCTCCTCATAGAGGCGGACGGATTCAAAGTGGCCGTCAATGGGCGCCACTTCTGCCAATTCCTGCACCGCATACCCCTCTCCTGTGTGGGCGTCCTGTCCATCGAGGGCTCCGTCGAAGTGGAGCGCATTGAATACCGGCGCGAAATGAAGTACACGGCGCCCATCGTAATGGCCTCACCCGCCGCTCCCATGCCGGTGCTCGTGAGCCGGGCGTTGGGACCCATACACAACCCGCCGCTGCCATTCCGACACGCATTCGGCGAGTCCTTACGGCCCTCCCAAATGATATACATATCGGGACGGCTGACCAACAGCGCCGACCGCTTCTCTATTGACTTCACGTGCGCTCAACACCCGCACCAAAACGACATCGCCTTCCACTTCAACGCCAGGATTCGCGAAGCGGTTGTCGTGCGAAACCACTTCCAGTCGGGCCGGTGGGGAGCGGAGGAACGGCATGCGAACGTCTTTCCCTTCTACACGGGCGCCAACTTTGACCTCATGGTGCAGGTGGAGGCGCACAGGTTTATGGTCGCCATCAATGGACAGCATTTCGCTGAATTCCGGCACAGAATTCCGCTGCAGTTCGTCAACGGTATGAACATTAGCGGCGATGTCTTCATTACATCCATACGCTTTGCACAGCCGTAAGCGCACAGGTAGTCAAACACTGACGCAACAAATACTGAGACAAATCGCGAGTCAAATACCCTATATATTTCCTATTGAATAAACAAACTATTCGTATGTTTAATGCATTTGAATGCAGAGATACTTCTTTTTAATGATATTCTCTCTCTTTTTATCTAAACAAATATATAATTAACAAAAAAAGTCGTGTATTTTTTATACGAAATTCTTGACAGAATTGTGTTTATAATTAAAAATACATATAAATTACAAAAGAAATTATTTTGATGGTAAGAAAATTAAGCGACAATATTATATTGTAATCATAAATAAGAAAAAATAATAATAAATTTTGATTCAGAAAACAAACAAAAAAAACATGTGTCTAATGAATGGGCCTATCATTTGCCTAATCCTAACTTCTTGGCCTCGATCTCGTATATCAATAACCGCCACATCTTGACGACAAACACCTCCGCCTCCTCGTCCAACACCATCGCCACGTCGTCTAAAATACTTTGAGCGCTGCTTTTGGACTGCAGTTTATTACATATGAAGTCTAACAGCGCCTGTTCCTCTTCGCCTATGTATTCGGCAATCTTTTTGTTAATCCACGGCCTTATCCGGCGCTCCATTAATGTCTGCGAATCAAAAGGAACGGTATATTAGACATACAAACGCATCAATTGGTGACCACAAGAAAAACGCTTACGTTATCGACGAGCGACCACTCGATCTCATACTTAAACAGCTCCTCCTTAGAGGTCGGGATCTTTTCGATCAACGCTTTGATTTGTTTGCGTTTCTCCTCCGAAGACATCAACTTATTGTCGGCGCCCACGCCTCCCGACGCCGTCTTCGTGGTGGGCGTACCGCTCAGATCGCTGTCGGTGTTGTCGTCCAGAAGGGTCGGCAGCTTTCGCTTCTTGGCCTTCGAGAGGTCGTCGTCTTCGTTGGCGTTAAACACGTCAGAAACGGACAGTTTCTTGCGTTTGAGATCAGCGCCGGTCGACGGGTTGGACGACGTCTTGTCGGCGACGGCCGTGGCGTCCGTCGAGTCGGGCGTGTCGTTGGAGGTGTGGTTAGTGTGTCGGCCCTCTGGACCGCCATTATTGACGGCATTGTTATTACTATTACTGCTGTTATTAACGGTATTCGCGTTCGCGATCCCAGTGTTCGCCAGTTTCATGCCTTGGAAACCGAAAGTCTTGACCGGAATCTCGTCTTTTGGCGTCAAATCCGAGTCGATGGAGATGTCGTCGTCAGCGGCTGCCGACGACACGCGCCCGGAGCTACCGGTGCCTGACTTTTGGCGCGCCTCCAACATCAACGCCCGTATCCTATCGCTGACCGCTTTGTTCGTGCGATCTCTTTCCGTCTCGTTGGAGGCGAGCATACGGCGCCGCACCTCACTGTCCGGGTCGGGGTGTCCCTCGAGCGCCAACTTCTCGCGCAGTTCGTCCAACTCCTTCTTCTCCTGGAGGCGCTCCGCCTCATCGCCCGCCACCTCCTTCTCGCGATCCCTCACTCGTCTCATAAGACTGTTTCCCTTATAGTACTTGTGATCGAAGCGGTCGTCGTCGTAGTCCTCGAGGAACTCCTTCAGCTTCCGGCGCTCGTCCTCCTCGTCCAGCCGTCGGCGCTCTTCCCGATCGCTCTCCTTCTTGTAATCGCTTTTCTTGCGGTTCTCGCGACTCTCCCACTCCTTCAGCCGCCGCTGATATGACGCTTCCTTTTCCTTCATCTGGCGCTCCAGTCGTCGCCGTTCGTACATTTCCTCCTCGTCCTCGACGGGCGGCATATCCTTGACCTCCGAGCGTCGATCCCTTTCCCGATATCGGTCTCGTTCTCTCTCGCGTTCACGTTGTTCACGCTCTCGATCCCTATCCCTCTCGCGCTCCCTTTCCCTCTCGCGCTCTCTTTCACGCTCTCGGTCTCTATCTCTGTCGCGATCGCTTCGGGAACTCCTATCTCTACGGTCTCTATGTCTGTCCCTATCCGGTGACCTATCTTTGGAACGGTTGTCCTTTTTGATGGCATCCGAGGGCTCTCTCTTCACATCCGACTCCTCTTTGCGTTTCTTTTCCTCCTCTTTCTGTTCCTCCACTTTCTGCGCAAAACATAAATTCAAACCATTATTACAAACAAAATTCACAACAAATACTAATCGATAAGACAAACGCAAACATCAATTAATCAAATATTAATCAATTAATTATAAAAAATATATCAAAAAATGGTTTTATAGCTCACAAAACGAAGGAATCATTTAACCAAACATTTTATGAGAGAGTGTTTTCACTCACAACACAATCAGTTCTTCTGTTCAATGGATTGAATGATAACATTATGAGTAAAATACAAATTTCTTAAATGGTATTTACATTTTAAAAAAGTGTATTTCAAAGTGTATTGTATTTTGTAATGATGTCTATACAACAGTATGGCTTTAAGTGGAAAAACAAATGTATTATTTGTTGAGAAAAAAATATGTGAAAAATCAAAATATAGAGAGAAATAGATATTTTTATGATTTGTGTGTCAAAAGGCGTTTGTCTGCCTTACCTAAGCATTGGAATCACATTATTATTATAGAGATTTCATTTTGGATTAGATTTTTGGTTGTCTATCACTTGTTGCTAATCGTATACATTAGAAAATAATACAATTAAACTGACGGTGCGTTTGGACACTTCCAAACACATTATATCACAAAAAACTAGTAACACATAAAATAGTCTTGAAATCAATGTATTTCGAGTTCACTCGAGACTCACCAAAAAGGCTTAATACACGCAAAGACAAGTCCAGAATATTCTTCGAGTTTATGACTTAACAATCAATTGAAATACGAAAAAACAGCTTTACTTACAGTTTAGACCCCATTTCCAGTCACTAAACCAATGGGTGCTCTGAAAACTCATTTTCATACAACAATAAACTTTTTAATTGAATGTCAAACTATGGGAATAACTATGAAATTCTAAGCAAAACTAAATTATCTATAAAATAAATTCAATTAAACAGTTTATTGCTGTAAATTACCCGCAAATAAAAAAAAGGTATCATAAAAATTCATATAAACCGGTCGTACAGTGTATATGCAATCAATAAAATCAATGGATAATTCAATTACTCACCAAACGATACGACAATACAATGAGTCAATTGAGACAATCAGCAGTAAATTACAATAAACTTAAGGCAAAGCGTTTGTTACTCACCGCTAAATCCTATCTCTCCCTCACAATACAGATCTCTTTCGGCTATTGATTTCATATCAATTTAATGTCTATTTGCCTCTAGAGGTCAACTGAGAGCCGATGTTTTCACAATCAAACACAACATTAATTCCTGGTTTTTGGGGGAATATAATAGCAATACATATGTCATGTGTTCACACCATTCGCAGACAAGAGTTTTTACTAAATGTCTACTCAATTATTACAGATTTTATTTATCCATTATTTACGGTAATAAACCCGATGTCAAAAAACGCAAATTAACTCTCCATTTAATCTCAATTTAATACTAAAAGGGCTAACTTTTTAACTCAAAAACCTAACTCTAACTATGGATATATCGGAATCAAATCTCATTGATTACAAAATTACAATAAAAAATAGGAACTAATTCTCATAATAATCGGGGAATAAGATCTCAAAATGGCCTCAAAATCCATAATCAAAAATCAAATCATAAAATCATTCATAAATACCTTATAAGTGTCGCGGAATTTATCGATCTCTCTGTGGATTAGCGATCGCTTATCGTCTTCTAAATCCATTTCCGCTAAATTCTACACAAAAACACAAAATCAAAACTTAATAAAAAAAACTACTCAAACAAGACATTAAACAAACAAAAACTCACCTCAGGTTTGGTGGGATCTCTCTTATCACTATTATATCTGCGCTGCCGTTCCTTAGGGTCGGGCTCTTTGGACAGTTCGATCTCGTGCTCCCTCAGCACTCCCTGCATGGCCTGTAGGGTCTGCGAGTCCTCCTCTTTGGTGGCGTCGTCCAACTCGGAGCCCAACATACCCTTACTCTTCATGTACTCGTCTAACTTCTCCTGAGTCTTGGGATCCACTTTCACCACCAGTTTCTTATCGGCGATTTCAAACTCTAAGAGCAGTCGCACCGCACGCATAGCCGACTCGTGATCGCAATACTCGCAGAAACCAAACGCCTGTAGCTTCCCATTGGCTCCTTGGACTCGCTTCCAGTTGTTCACTTGACCACATTTCTGGTGATAATCACCACATATTCAATAAGCAATAACAACACACCATTACTGGTGACCAGTACTAGTGATCATCGCTGATGACAAGCACCGCTACTTACGGATAACAGTTGTCTAATAAGCATATCGGACGCCCTTTCGGTGATATTGCCCACGAATACAGTGATAGTGGTTCCCGGGGCGGGTCTGGGCTTCCGGAACTGTTGCTGCGTGTCTTGTGTGGCGGCAGCCATTTGCTGGAAAATCTATACACCGATGGCAGGCAATGGGAGAGCAAACAAAAAAGAGCAGACAATTAATACCCGTCCGGATCGACACGTAAGACAACTCCTCTTAAGTACAGTAAACGGAGGCCTAACCGGATTGGCGCCGGGATATACGCCTAACAGCGACGGCGGCGCCTGAAGCTGAATGCCGGTCATCTGTTGCTGGTTGGGGTCGATCTGTATGTTGCGTACGGGCGGCGCCGATATGGTCGTTACACCCGACGGCACCGTCACTCCCATCGGTTGCTATGGATATCCAATAAGACAATTAGTGGTCAACTCGTGGATCACATAAATGAATACAAAGGCAGTACCGGAGGCATCGGTGGCATCATTTGCATGGGTATGAGTCCGCCTGTAAATCAATGGTAAAAACAGACAATTAGTACGATTGCGGGCACAGGCAGGCGATGGTGAGTGGTGTTACCCATGGGCTGCATGTTACCCATGGCGTGCATCTGATGGTAGGCCTGGGGCGTCATCCCGGAGCCCATCATAGAGGCGGCCATCGCCGCCATCAGCGAGTTATTGGGCGCACGAAACGACATCTCAATGGCGATCACCCAATGGATCCGTTAATACGCTCAGAGTTTCAATGATATACTAATCAAATGATGTATAAACACATGCGTAAAACACGTGACTATTATTGTGGACACAATTGAAAACCACTTATGAGTTGTTCATTGGATTCACGGAAAAAAATATATTCACAAAAATGCTATCAATTTGTTGCGAAAAATTTGTTTCAGTTTTTGTTTTGTGCTATAGTTTGCGATTCGTATGAAATAAATAGTTTACAAAATTGTCGTTTAATTCACTTATTATATGAGATTTAAATTGATTATTAATTTTAATTTCACTTTTCACTCAATGATATAAACAATTGGACGCCATTTTGGATTTGGACGTCCCGTTCAGATATTACGTGTTGTTTCAAACTTTTTTCCGTATGACTTATGGGACGTATTTGTTTCACCTAGCTTGCTAGTTTAGTAGATTTTAATTGTGTTATTTAATTTCTAGTATGTTTTATTAATTTGTTAATAATCTATAATGAATTTATATTTAATTTTGCTTTAAGTCTGTATACAATAGTTAGTATTATACTGGATATGCATTTTTAATGAACACTCAAACCATATGTTTAAGCATTTATGAGAAAACAAAGTCTCTCTCTCTCTCTCTCTCTCTCTCTCTCCACTTTTATGGGAAAATATGGAAAACTCTTAATATTATTTATTATGACTTGAATATTAACTTTATATAAATTTTATTAAGTTTATGTAAACACTTGAATACCATACTATACTCCAGTTATCCAATAAACAACTTTCATATCATATCAATAATAGCTTAGCATTGGTTCAAAATTATTTTTATCCCATATTGCAGTTGAGTTAATATTGATTTGTTATTATTTAATATTCATGAATATAAATATGCTTTGCAACTAATTTAACATAAAAGCACTGCTATTTTGTAAATATATTATCAAGGTTATTATGTCTTCGCAGACAAAAATTATTTATGAAATTATTTTTTAATTAAATACAATTTTCGTACGCTTCATTAGTTTGCAACTTATTATTTTCAATTGTGTTTTATTTTTATGTTATTCAGAATTACTGATACAATAGCATAAAATAGAAATATTTTTGAATCATGGTAATAAAATATGTGAAACTTATTGCTGGGAACTAGACTTTAATTAGTTCTCAGTTCACTACAAAAAATACAAACTTTTTATATATTCTTATTGTATTTCTATAGATCGTAAAATAAAATAAAAAGTTGTTTCTATTCATAAAAACTTATGTATACTTTGATTCAATTGATGAGAATTTCTGTTTTATTGATTTGTAGCCTTTATTTGCAGTAAGTTTTAAGTAGAAAACTCTAAACTTTAAACAAATATAAAAATTTTATTACATAATACCAATTCAAAGTCAATATATTAAATAACAATGTATGTGTGTTTGAAAATATAAAGTCAAATAAAATAGTTATAATTTAAGTAGAAAACTCTAAACTTTAAACAAATATAAAAATTTTATTACATAATACCAATTCAAAGTCAATATATTAAATAACAATGTATGTGTGTTTGAAAATATAAAGTCAAATAAAATAGTTATATAAAGCACTTGTAGCCAAACTTACTGTATATCAATGTCACCGGGATGTGAGTCCTGTATTATTCTGAATAGGAAAATGTGTATTTAAACAGTACGTCAAGTGGTGGGACACACCTCGCAAATGCCTGACAGACAAAATCAGATAAAACATTTTCAAAAGAAAACTGAAAGCACAAAAATACACTTATAATTATATTCACAAAAAGTACTTTTGATTTATAAAATGTTTTATTTTTAGAAATTTTTATTTCGAAAGCAAATCCTTTGCGCAAAGAAATAAAGAAAAACAAAAAGAAAATCAGATATTGTTCGCCGGTTTTGAGAGCAGACAAAGATTTGTGTGATTTGTGTGAATATATACAAAGATTGTATGCAAAACACTATGTGCTCAACCGATTGGCAGCCTATTTGTGACCCCATTATAATAAATATGAAGTTTATTATATCTGTAAGGATTTAGGCATTTAAATATTTTATGTGCTCTCTCTCTCTCTCTCTCTCTCTCTCTCTCAATGGGAAATACATGTCAATAAACTTTAATATAAATCAGATGGAGATGTACGGCCATGTATTACATAACTAATAAGTTATACAAGGAAGATATGGGGGACTGGTATGCAAACGGTTTG